AAAAAAAAAAAAGATTGAAAGAATATAAAGAGTATAGACTCTGGGGAGAAGAAGTCCAAACCAGTAATGAGACTTGGAGCCTGGATGGTGGAGGTGAGAGACAGCAGAAACCGGGAGTCTGGAGCCAGCAGGTTCAGGGCAGGCGTGAGGGAGATCAGCCGCAGCACCACCGGCGCGGGCAGCTCAGTGCTCAACCCCACGAGCAGGTCACTCGAGCTGCTGACCACAAGCCGTCAGTGTCCTTGCCTGTGAGGACAAGGGCACGGCCACTGCCTGTGGATAGTCTGTTTTCTCCGCCTGCGGTTGCTATTGCAGCCCCACTCAAAAGTTTAGACGTAAATTAGAGCAGCATTATTTATTTATTTTGGAAATCTAATTCTCTCCAAAAAATTAAAATGCAGTCTGCTAAAGGCTTGTCTGCAAGGGCATCAGGCCTGAAACACAGATTGGGCACTGTCTGTTGTATTATATAGGGCAAGCTATTTTTAAAGCTTGTGATTGTTACCGTAACTAGGAAACAGACAGGAAATGAATGATTTTGCAAAAGATATAGACAGTAGCTAGATGGTATATTTGCATTTGTTGGAAGAACAGTGCCACGCTGGAGCTGGCCACCCACACTGGCATAACTACCCTGGCACTCAGCCAGGCCGTAGATATCCGCTGGTCTTGTTTGTGGAGTTGTATTTATGTCAGCAAAAATGCTGGTCTCTCTTGCCTCCCCAGGACCTTTCTTTGGGGCCCATAAGCTAATGCACACACACAAAGCTATCAGGTAAAGATACAGTTCCCTCTGTATAGGGTACTATGACACCCTTGTGCCGTCTTCTAAGAAGATGCTTCATAGCTGCCTGTACTGCTAATTTCATTTCTGCTCTTAACCAGGACAGATACTGTGCATCTCAAAGTGAGCTCCCCTCTCCTTCCCTCCCAGAAGTCTTTAGTGCTTAAAACTGTCAGTAGAATCCCTCAGGGAGTCTGAATTGAAACGTCGAATGTGGTTCCTACAAAAAATAGTGCCTTTCTGAGAAGTCACCCACCTCTAGAAAAGAATGATCAGATCAGGTACTTCAGACAGTGACTGAGGCCCACAGGTGGCCCAGGGCCCATGTGGGAGGGCCGATGCATAAGCCCTGCAGAGTGAATCTTCTCTGGAGTACTTTTGTACACATACACTCACACACACACAGAGACACACACGCTTACTTTAGTCATTTTTAGCACTTTATTGGAAACTGTAATGAAAGGATTTCCCAAGTGACCAGCTTCATAGCAGAAGGGAACAGGGAGGCTAAGCCAGGAAAGTGCAGTTCTGGGAGAGGTGTCACAAGTCTATTTACATTTTTGGTTACTTTTATTACAAAGGTATGAGAAGGGCTAAAAAGGAGAGGCATGGAACTCTTAATAGTGTTAACTCTGAGGCTTCCTAAGGGGGAGAAATTTCATTTTTACTTCTGAATTTGGATTTTTTATTAATACAGTGAATTGTCACTTAAAATTGAAAAAATAAAACCAGTCATAATTACACATGAAACATTCAGAAGGGGAAAAGGGAAAAAAATTAGTTTATCTGTAATTTTACTCCTGAGAGAGCAGGATTTGGATTCTTTTCTTGAGGTAGTGGATAGGTAGGGGTGGGGTGGTTCAGTAGTTAGGCAGACATTCTAGAGAACATTTCTAGAAGAAAATTACACTCTGTGGAATTTCATGTCTTTCTTTACATAATATACCATGAGCATTTTCCCATGTCATGAAATGTTCTTTGAAAGCTTGAACTTTAGCCACTGCCTACTAATGGTATTGCCCTTGTCTGATCCCTCTCTCCGGTTATTGAAGGTCAGGTACTACGGTAGATGCGTAAAGAGAAACTCTGGTGTCTCCATCTTTGGTGATACTTCAGATTACTTCTTGGGGATGAATTTCTAGAGCTGGTGTTACCTCTTTGCTTCCTCACCTACTTTTTTTTTTCTCACCTACTTATTTGTCTCAAGACAGATAAAATGCTTTTAAAGGTATTATGCTTTTATTCTCATGTTTTTTGAATGTTGCCATAGCATTCTCTTCGGTCCTATGTGTCACCTATTCCATACGAGATCTTTTACAAGTGAAGTAATCAGGTTAACTGTAAGGACAGACAAAGGCAATGTAATAGAAAATGTACATTGCACCCACATTGTATTTTGAAATCCTGCAATTTATAGTTAGACAAGATTATTTCATAGAACAAAAGATCTTGCTTTTTTTTAATGGGACAGAGTCTCACCCTGTCACCCTGGGTAAAGTGCTGTGGCATTATAGCTCATAGCAATCTCAAACTCTTGTGCTCAAGTGATCCTTTTGCTTCAGTCTCCCAAGTGGCTGGGACTATGGGTGCCCACAACAACACCCAACTGGGACTGCAGGCGCCCACCACAACACCTGGCTAGTTTTTCTATTTTTAGTAGAGATGGTTCTCAGTCTTGCTCAGGCTGGGCCCAAACTCCTGAGCTCAGGCAATCCACTCAGCTCAGCCTCCCAGAGTGCTGTGATGACAGGTGTGAGCCACTGCGCCTATAACAGATCTTATTTGTGACAGTTTAGGTCACTATGTACATCAGCCAAATATCTCAGTCACAAATTCTTGGAGCTGACTTCAGGGTCTTCTTATATCGAGTCCCTGGGTAAATTGGCAGGCCCAGGTGGGACGATGGTCAGTTCTTTCTGGAAACTGGAACAGAAGGCTGAAGGTGTTCACTGCTATTAACTGAGTGGCCCCACAAAACCTTCTTAGTCATCACCCAATATCAGATCCTTGTTATCCAGCTGTCCCAAGATGAAATTGAATTCAGCAAACATTTTAAAATAAAAGTTGGAATTCCTCTTGTAGTCTATATAAGGAGATAAATTTATAAGCTGACAATTTAAGCAAAATTGAAAATTTAAGGAGACTGCGGGGTATTTTAAGTGACTCAGAAAAAGGTGACTTTTCCTTATTAAGGAAAAAAAAGAAAGTGCTTTTATGGCTTGTACTGTAAGAAATGTCTGGTAAAATTTTGGAAGAGGCTGTCTGTAAAGCTGCTCAGTAGATAATTGCTTAATATTCTTTTCTTTTTTGCTTTATTCATTTCTAAATCATCCTTGGCTAGTCTTAGAAATTATATTAGTAGACGCTTACGGAGCCTAGAGCTGTGAAACAGCTGTTCTTTCTTATAAGAAAACTATGTAGTATAGGCAAAAAAGGGAGACTAAGCCAGGCTCGCACCTGTGAGCTCACCTAGTCAGGAGGCTGAGGCAGGAGGATTGCTTAAACCTCGAAATTCAAGGCTGCAATGAGCAACCATCACACCACTGCTCCAACCTGGGTGACAGAGTGCGACCCCATCTCTTAAAAAAAATAAAAAAGGAAAGAAGAAAGAAATCTTATCTGGGGAAGGACCAAGGAGAGAGTAAGAGTTTCTAGGTGGATTGCAGAGTTTTATTTTCCTGTGCCATAGGGAAGGTTGGGTGAAGTCTGGGAAGAGATTATGTGCCACTCTTCCTTTTAAATGGCCACTCATCACTTTACAGACCTGTAATGCACTAGCCGCCTTATCCAAGTAATGGCTGTAGCCCCAGAGCAATTTTTAATGGAGTAACCATCCCCTCCTCCAAGCAAACAAAGATCTGAGTCACCCAAGTCTCCCTCTCCAAATAAAGGGCCTTGCAGTGTCTTCAGATTGGCTGCCATAAGAGGAAAGTTTCCTGTGTCTGGCAAAGGGACACCCCATGTCACCTCCACATACACGAGCATGTCCTGTGTCCACAGGAAGCAGTGGCACTACCCAAGCATGTTCTAGGTGGAGGTAACACTTAGAACTGCGCAGCTAAGACTGGCTATTCCCAAGCAGCTATTCATAGGAGAAAAGGGGCTGATTTCCACTGGGGAATAGTTAAGGTAATGAAGTAAATAATTGCATCCTCACAGGGGCTTTTACCAGCCAGAACTTGCAACCACAACTCCCCTCTGTATGCTGTTTCTGCTGCCATTAGGTGGTTTGCTTGGCAACTGCGTGCATGAGAAGGCGGGGTGCTCAGGAGCTGCGCTGAGCTCATCCCTGTTGGGTGGGGACTAGACCGTGGGTATCACTTCAGGAGTGAAGACTCAGTGCACAGGGCCTTAGTAACCTCCGCTGGAATCTGGGGCCTGTGAGTCATTTGTTATTCTATAATGGAAGGCTTTGGCTGTTTGCCATTTGAATTTTTTTTCCTAATCCTTTCTCTAGTATCAGTCTGTCTTTGAAGAATTCTTTCCATTCCTCAGGCACATAGGCTAATTAAAGAAGAAATCAAATGGTCAGGTACTTAAATTATGAACATAAAAATCTGTCTAGCACCTTCCAGTATGTTTGTGGTTGAAAATGAGAAGAATGTTGGTCACTGTTCTTTTATCTTAGCTGTGAGCCATATAGTTTTTAAGAAAAGCAAACTCACCTTCCCTCCTCATTTCCCTTATTTAAAAAAAATAACTGGTAGGCCTCAAGCTAATATACCCCGTTCTTCTGGAAACCACGAAAAAAATTGTTGATTATAATAATGAAGACTCAGAGAAACCTGGGCCTAGTCTGGGTCCTCGTGAACTCCTTTCTCTAAGTGCTGTAGCTGACACACCCTAACTTCTCATCTCCCCGTTCTCATTAGAAACAGGGACTTAATTTCCAGTTTGCCTCAAATCTTGACAGTTTTTCCTGGATGGATTTTTCTACTGTCTCAACAGAGCAGCGACTGATGGTTCCCTCCTCTCTCTGGCATGTAGGTCAACGGCTGCCTGCTGGACCCTGTGCCTCCCGCCCTCCTGAGGAAGGGCTGCCAGTCACTGCCCAGCGACATGATGGAGACCTCCATTGATGAAGGGCTGGAGACAGAAGGCGAGGCCGAGGAAGACCCCAGCCACTCCTTTGAGGCCTTTCAGTCCACGCGCAGTGGGCAGAGGCGGCACACTCTGTCCGAGGTGACCAATCAGGTGGTCGTGGTGCCTGCGGCAGGTATGACATGGGACAGGCGCAGATTAGGTCTTTAGGGCATTAGTTTGTGCTTCAGTCACAGGGAACCCCCAGAATTCAGTAGACAGAGATCTTATTCCTTCAGGGAGCAGATCCAGCAGGCTTATAGGATGAGGTCTGCTCGGTGGCTAACAGAGATTACAACAAAATGTCTCTGACTCCCCCAACTCCCAGGTTTCATCTGAGTGCTGTGTGTTTCATCAGCAACTCTGGCTCCTTTGGAGTGGCACAGATCTTGTGAGTGTGGCTTCTGGAGTGTTTTCCCCACTAAATTTGAAGATGGTTCTGAAAATATGGGTTTGTTTTTTTTTTTTTTTGAGACAGAGTCTCACTTTGTCACCCTTGGTAGAGTGGCCATGGCATCACAGCTCACAGCAACCTCAAACTCTTGAGCTTAAGTGATTCTCTTGCCTCAGCCTCCCAAGTAGCTGGGACTGCAGGCGCCCGCCACAATGCTCAGCCATTTTTGTTGTTGTTGCAGTTGTCATTGCTGTTTGGCAGGCCTGGGCTGGTTTCGAACCTGCCAGCTCCAGTATATGTGGCTGGTGCCCTAGCCACTGAGCTACAGGTGCTGAGCCTATGAAAAGATGTTTTGATTGGAGATTAAGGACCTGATAGCTGTCAAGACTTTGTATCACATGTTCCGGGAACTGGTATTCCAGCTGTTGCTATTGGTAATGTCTGTTTTGTTTTTTCTTAAAGGGAAAATTTTCTCCATGAGTGACACCCCATCCCTTGACAGTGTGGACTCTGAGTATGATATGGGGTCTGTTCAGAGGGACCTGAACTTTCTAGAGGAAAACACCTCCCTGAAGGACGTGATGTTAGCCAATCAACCCTCACCCCGTATGACATCTCCCTTCGTAAGCTTGAGACCCACCAACCCAGCCATGCAGGCGCTGAGCTCCCAGAAACGAGAGGCCCACAACAGGTCGCCAGTAAGCTTCAGGGAGGGCCGCCGGGCATCGGACACCTCCCTCACCCAAGGTGACAGCTCTCTTCTCTGGCTTTTAAAGTTCTTACATTGTAGGACTTGAGGGAGGTCTCTCGCCGTACTGGTATGAACCTATGCTCACCAAAAGGCCTCGTATTTTACTTAAACGCTTTGGTCTTTGTACTTTTCTTTCAGGAATTGTAGCGTTTAGACAACATCTTCAGAATCTGGCCAGAACCAAAGGAATCCTAGAGTTGAACAAAGTGCAGATGTTATATGAACAAATAGGATCAGAGGCAGACCCGTCGGCTGCCTCTCAGCTCCAGGACCTGGCCAGCAGTTGCCCTCAGGTGGGTGCCGTGGGAGTTTGTCCTGAAAGTGTGTCATTCTCACTCAGGATTTCCTCCGTCCCGGAGCAAACAGCTTCTTTTGGAAAGTCACAGCCTGAATGCTTTCCTTTTGCTGCCGCTGCCACTGGCAGGTTAGACCCATCCCTGCTACCCCCCGCCCGGCAATCAGCACCAGATGGAGGCCTAGACGCTGTCAAGCTATGTTTGGTTCACAGGGCAGATTGTATATGGATGGCCTCTTACAGTTCCCCCAAAACTGAAGAGTAATAAATTTCGCCTAGATGAGGAGCTTTTTGCCACTGACACTTCATTAAATATTATAACTAGATTATGTGTGCTAAAAGTACAATAAATGTTGCTGCCCATCCAGTTTTATTTTGAGCCTGTTTTTGGTGCATCAAGGATATTATGGTATCGGAGGCCCACAGGAAGGTGAGGGCCTCCTGGTGACACCAAGAGCCTTTGCCCTGGCACTGACGAGGTAATTGTTAACTGCAGATCATATGTGCATAAATTTTCTGCAAAGTAATTAACCTTCAGCCTACTAGTTATGTAGAAACCTTTGAATATTGTGCTCTAAAGAGTTGAGAGTCCTCTTGGGCATTTGCGAAGGTGCTTAAAGTAAAAATTGAGACTTCTTCTCCCATGGAGAACTGAAAATTGTTTTCACCCCTTGCTCCTTAGGAGGAAGCGTCTCAGCAGCAGGACAGCGTCTCCACCCTCCCCACCAGTGTGCACCCTCAGCTCTCCCCGCGGCAGAGCCTGGAGTCGCAGTTCCTACAGCACAGACTCCAGGTGGGGCCCTGCTCACTGTGCTTACCCTGAACCTGCCTCTCTGCAGTGCCTTGCTCGGTATTTACGTAGAGTGGCCGCTTGACTCCCTGTAGGCAGGTGGCTTTGGCCCTTCACTGGTAGTTTGAAGAAACCTGTTCACACGGAGCTCACCGAGCCTCAGCTCTGGCGCTGACTGTGCAGGATCATATATGCATAACTGTGCTGTGTTGGCAGTGGGAAAGGTTTATCCTCAAGCCCAGGAAAGGATACACCACTGAGTGGTGGGAAAGGGAGACCTGGATTCTTTGTTTCTAATTTTATGCTTCTTAATGAATAATAAATAAAATGGAACTCAATTCTGTAAAAATTTCAACATGGGCTCTCTACATTGGTACATGAAAATCTTAAGCGATATGACGCTGATCCCATAAAGAATGCATCACTTATTCATTCAGCGCCTGCTGAGGCCTTTGCTCAAGATTTAACCCCACTGGTTTCATCGTTTTTCAATCTCCATAAACCTCACAGTCCTAGAGGACTTGTAGAAGTGGAGTGGAAAGCTGAGATAGGGTGCAGCTGAGACAGCCCAGGCCTGCCAGCCCGAAACTTCTAGGCGCTCAGTGAGCAGGCGTCCGTCCTTCACCCTACGCAGGTTCTGGAGGACGCACTTGGACTCGTCCTCCAGGCAGAAGCACAGTCTGGTGACTGCATTCTCATTGTTTTTCTGCTATTCCAGAAGCCCAGCCTTCTGTCAAAGGCCCAGAATACCTGTCAGCTTTATTGCAAAGAACCACCTCGGAGCCTCGAACAGCAGCTGCAGGAGCACAGGTGAGAGGGCCAGGGGGCTCTGGCCAAAGAGGTCACTTATTTTGTGGGAGCTTTAAGAACATTGGGTGTGTTGCCCTTTCTCACTCAAGGGAGCCACAGTCTCTTCAGGCCTGACTGCTAATGAGGGTATTCCAGTGTCCCCAGAGTGCAAGTCTGGCAGGCAATCGCAGCCCTCAAATGTGTTTTGTTTTCCTTTCCTGCTAGTGCTTCCCCTTTGGGATATAACTAGACCTGAGCTTTCACAGTCACTGGCCCAGAGCAATGGAAGTGTGTTAGCCTGCAGAGAAGGCCTCTGTCCTTCCTTGCCGTAGTTCATGCCGGCAGGCCTCACTATTAGAAGCAGCTTTGCCAAGGTAGGATTACCCTAATCCATCAACCTGCAGACATCTGCAAAGGACAAGGTATGAGATTATCTCCCCCTCTACCCACTAGATTTGGGAATCAGCCTTCACTTTGTAGTCTCAGATGCATTCCTGCTCACTTTAGCACCAAGGGACAAAAAGGGAGACTGGGCTTAAGAAACCCCACATGATTGCTTCCCCCTTTTACTTGCTTTTTCCTGACACCAGAAAGAGAGAAGTGGAGGACTGAAGCTAATGACTTCAGTATTGGATGTATGTAGAAATGCCGTCACTTGAGAAGATGTAAAATTCTTTCCTTTGGTATTGCCAATTTAGGCTCCAACAGAAGCGCCTCTTCCTCCAGAAGCAGTCTCAGCTGCAGGCGTATTTTAATCAGATGCAGATAGCAGAGAGTTCCTACCCACAGCCGAGTCAGCAGCTGCCCCTTCCTCACCAGGAGAGTCCTCCACCATCACAGCAGGCCCCACCATTCAGCCTGAGCCAGCCCCTGAGCCCCGTGCTGGAGCCCTCATCTGAGCAGATGCAATACAGCCCTTTCCTCGGCCAGTACCAGGAGATGCGGCTGCAGTCCCTGCCCTCCACGCCCGGTCCTCAGGCTCCTCCGCTGCCCGCACAGCTACAGCAGCAGCCACCACCACCACCTCCGCCACCTCCACCACAACAGCCAGGAGCCGCCCCAGCCCCCTTACAGTTCTCCTATCAGACTTGTGAGCTACCCAGTGCTGCTTCCCCGCCGCCAGACTATCCTGCTCCCTGTCAGTATCCTGTGGAGGGGGCCCAGCAGAGCGGCCTGACAGGGCCAGACTCGCCCCGGAGCTCAGGACTGCAGGAGGCCTCCTCCAGCTACGACCCACTGGCCCTCTCTGAGTTACCTGGACTCTTTGATTGTGAAATGCTGGACGCTGTGGATCCACAACACAATGGGTATGTCCTGGTGAATTAACTCAGCACAGGAAGTGAGGTGGGTCAAGTGAAGGAAGACTGTGTATTTCTATTTTTACTCCAGCCTTTTCAATTTAAAGCTCATTTTCTTGCCCTCTCCCTCGTGGGGAGAAACCAGGTCACCCCGCTGTAAGCAGAGGGCCTGCTGAGGGGGGTGTTGCTTCCTCTTGTCTCTGTCCCACCACAGAGTTTTCTGTGGCAAGTGCTGGAACATAGTTGTAGGCTAACGCTCATGCCCTTAGGGTGAGGGGAGCAAGCTCTCGAGGGAGGCACCAACAGCTATTTCTGTAAGGAGACGCTCAGACCTAGGTTGTATGCAGAGTGTACCAGTTCATTATCACAGGAAACCCTGCTGAAAGCAGGAACGTGTGTGCTATCGCATAATAGATAGGGGCAAAAAAAGGCAATATATTTTTCACTGAAGCTGAACAACATATTGCTTCAAGGCAAAGCAAGAATACATAATGAAATTTGAAGGACAGGAAATAAAGGAAAGTTGTAGCTGCTGATGCAGGCTGTCCCCAAGGCTGTCACAAAGCGGTGGAGTGTGAGCTATTTCAGGGGCTACTACGTAACACCTGGCACTGACCCCTGAGACCAGCTGTCTTCTCCCTCAGGGAGCGGGTGACACACATCTACAGAAGGTGCCCCTGGGTTGCCGAGAGTCAGAATATACTCAGGGCTCCAAAGATGTCACCTGCAGAACTGACAGGAAACGCCCCTGTCAGTGGAGGCGGGGGCAAGAAACTCGGGAAGGCACCAAGGGCACCAGCCCGGGCCAGGGAGGGCAGGCTCTGTCTGCACAGTCCCTTGCAGAGACTTCTGGTGTGGGGGCAGTTGGTCTCCAGAGGACCTGTTGCCTCTGACAGTGTAGTAACTACTTTGACTTTACACTAGATATTGCTAGTAGCATATTGAGCTTTGTATATAAGACACGAGAAATGAACTCTGATGTCCCATGTGAGGTGGTAGTGCTGTGCCTTTCCCCCAGATCACGCTTTAATTCTTTCTTTTCTGTAGAAACCCACAGTTTCCCATTTATGTCAATGCTAAATCCAAAGTCACTTCAGAGTTTGTTTTCCACCATGTGGGAATCAGCATTCTTAATTTCCTTACGTTTTGACTTGTAATGAAATGTTCAAGTATAACAGCAATATTCAGAGAACCACAGACGCGTTAACCATGTAAGCAGATTGTCTGCCAAACACATTATATTCCTAGTAAAACTCAGCTAACCCTGACAATTCATTCATCGAAGTAAGTCAGAAATAGACACTACAGCTAGTCTAGAAGTGATGAGTAACTGTCATTTGGACAGTAACATCCAGGTGTTACAAATTCAGTATTATTTATAAAGGTTATAATTTCTGTCCTCTAGAATGGTTTGTCCTATCAGCAGATGAATGAGTTAAGCACAAAGCATCTTCCTTAAAGCACAAAGAAGAGAGAAACTCCACTGACGCTGCATCTAGAAAACACCTTTAAGTTGCCTTTCCTCTTTGTCGTAAGTGTCCAGACAGGTGAGGGGAAGCGTGAAAAATCTAGGGATTTCCCTTCTGGCCACCCCCGCCCCCGCCAGCACTGGTAACTTGCAGTCTTGTTGCTGTCCAGAGACTGCCTGGTCACTGGGGCTCCACGTGGGGCCAGGATGCTTCGCAGAGGCGCTGTGCTCGGGGTTGAACTCTGGGTGTCAGCAGGAAAAAGGGTAGTGCAGGGACTGTCGTGTCTGTGATTTAATAACATGCAGTGAGAATCCAGGAAGAATGAATTAAGTTCCTTCTATGGGTTGCTTTTTCCTCCTCGTGCTTAAGATTGATGGTTTCATGAAATAGAGAACATCATTTCATTTAAGAGATTGTTTCACTGAGATCTCTAATCTGTTTTAAGTCTTTGCAAAATAAGCTAGTTGTAAAAACAAGACTTGATTTGTTTAGATGGAAGGAGGATGTTTTCCCAAAATATACTACAGAAGTGCTGTAATATTTATGAAATTAAAATGCCTTCCAGATTGAAAATGGGGGCCATTCATTTCAGAACGGCAGGAATGGTACAGTTACAGATTGGCGTAAACTCCTCCCCCCCAACGAGGCTGTGAGCTGCTTAGCCCAAGAGACCTAGGCGCTATGGCAGGACAGTTAGGCCGACATGTGAGGGACTGCAGAGAGGCTGCCGGCTGGAAGGTTAAGGCCCCCAGACAGAAACTGGGACGCGCCCACCCAGCAGCAGCCGGGCTGAACCAAACTGACAGACGTGGCAGCCGCTGGACACTCCCTGGTGAAGAGCTCGACCCTCCTGCTGGAACCCGCGTTGCAAGCTCCTGTTTGCTTATCTCATTTATTTCAAGCAGAAATCAATAAATTCCATAACCATCTGTATTTACTTAAATGTAAGCTGGTGAGCGGAGACTGGCTCTGTTGGCCGGCTGGGTGGCTGCTCAGCCGTGTCTGATCATCTGTGCTGTCCTGGTCCCTAAATAGTGACCGCGGAAGCCTCCATTTGCTCCATAAATGCTAGCATAACACTACAAAGGCTTGCACCGCTTTCTGTGAGAGGCTCCTTTGAATTCCTGACTCCCTTTCCGGTCTGGTCCGCATCGGCGTGTGTACACTACTGTATGGTGATTGTTAGCGTTATTATCTGGTAAACCAAGCTCGTCTGAAGAGACTTTGGTGAGATGAATCTGAGGTAAAAATTTCATTTGGCAAAAAAGTGCAATATGTGTGGTACTTTCTTTATTTTGTGTGTTCTTTTTTTAATCCAGGAGTATTAGTCTCTGCTTTGGGAAAAATGCACTAGTTCTGCATTTTCCAGTTGGGCAAGTGTGTCTCTAGTATTTACATGCCACTGACATGCCGGTCCCTGCAAGGCAAACAGAGCATGTTAACACAACAGAAAGGGAGTGGGGTCCTGCACATCATTCCCAGGGAGCTACTCTGACCAGCCCCAGCCACCTGCTGAGCACCTCCGCCCCTCACCACCTTGGGAACAGGCTGAGGGACAGACAGTTCTCTCTGCAAACAGCCTCCAGAACCCAACAGGCAGAGGACCATGGCCCACCAGGAGGACCAGAGATGGGACTCAAGGATTGTTAGTACAGATCCAAGTAGAACCTTTTCTTTTCTGTACCCAGCTTTGTCTTCTAAAAAAGTCATGGCCCTTTCTCCCTCAGAAATAAGAAGCTCCCAGTTTAAATGGTGGCTTGGAGTCAGTGAGGTGAGACAGCGGGAGCCTAGGACTGAACTCAGCCTTCACCCTGTGCTCCTCCTCGACTCCGGCCCCTAGAGCAGTAGGGGGCCTGGTGGTCTGATGTGGAGGGAGAGCCACCCTGTGAGAGTTCCACTCGCCCTCTACCCTGTCCTCCAGCAGGGACTAAAGGCCCCAGCAGAGGGACCTTTCTGCCCACACACTGGATGTCATTCATACCTATTATAGGCAGAGAAATGCTTAAAAGAATTCTGTGATTCACCGGGCGCCATGCCTGTAATCCTAGCACTCTGGGAGGCTGAGGTGGATAGATTGTCTGAGCTCACAAGTTCAAGACCAGCCTGAGCCAGAGCTAGACCTAATCTCTAAAAAAAAACTAGCTGGGCGTTGTGGCAGGGGCCTGTAGTCCCAGCTACTTGGGAGGCAGAGGCAAGAGGGTGGCTTAAGCCTGTGTTTGAGGTTGCTGTGAGCTGTGATGTCAACTGCACTCTACCTAGAGTCACAAAGTGAGATGCTGTCTCAAAAAAAAAAAAAAGAAAGAAAGAAAAGAATTCTGTGATTCTGTCCAGGTGGTAGGCTTGGGAAGAGGGGATATTCCCGTCTAGAGAGTGAGTCAGTGATCATCCAGAAACCAAGGAAAGCTGAGCGGCAGCAGCTTCCAGTCCTAGCCGGTCAAGGGTCCCAGCGGTGTGTGCATCAGAGCGGCCTCCGGGGAGGCACGGGTGCGAGGCTGTAGTGACTGCAGGAGGGGCAGGCGTAGAGGGTCCCCCTCCGTGTGGGTCCTCCAGCCTCTAGTCCAGCCCCAGGTTGATGGGTATATTGGGGTCAGAGTTTTCCTACTCTGGATTACATTTAAAACCTCTATCAACGGTTACATGTAAGCTTTCTATTAGTTTAAAGAAACATCATATTCCAGATAACTTTTTCACATTCGACCTCCCCGAGAAACAATGTCACTGCCAACATTGGTCCCCAGTGAACAGCTGCTGAATCCCTGTGCCGGGGCTGACCTGGCCGCATCTGCACCCTACACTGGGCTGTCTCTACTGCCTCCTCGGGAGCCACCTGCGCCTAGACATCAAAGGTAAAGACTGGAGAACAGGCAGTAAGTTGGAGCCATTGTACAGGCAGGGATCTTGATCATTTGTTGCTTCTAGAAATTTTTTATAGACCCTAAAGAGTGATGTGTAGAGGACAAAAACAGTATCATCTATCTCTAGTCTAAACTGGACAAAAAAACACTTTAAAAATTTACACATCCCTTCTGACAGGTTCCATAGTACGCTGGTCCCTGGCCTGAGGCCCAGGCAAGTGGCTGTAATTACAGAGCTCTTTGTCTGCCCCTTGTCAGCAGCAGGGTGACCTCCAGGCCCCTTCTGGCCCTGTAGTCCTGATCTCCCAGTAGCTCTCACATTCTTATTTTACCATTTTTTCCCAATTAAGCAGCCTGGCTGCTTCGGGAAGACTCACATCCTGGTGGCCCCCCATCTTTCATGCGCCCCTTTTCTGGGCAGACTGGGGCACTTACTGTGCATAGATGGGGAAACAGGCCGCAGGATGGCCACAGACGCAGCCAGTGAGAGTCTCGGTGGGTCCTAGCCTAACACTCAGCCTGCCCGGCACAGGGAGCAATAGCTTATATTTATATGGTAGCTTTCTAAGCACTTTCACAAGGCGCGGGACGAGGATGTGTGTTGACGGGCTTCTGGTGTGAGGCCCTCTTTCCCTCCTCAGTAGCATCTGACTCTTTTCATAAGCAAACAGCTGTATAAACAAAGCCCCCATTTCGGCCAGGCACAGGGTGAACGTGACAGTGTTCCCACAACCTCATTCTCCACTTGACAGCTGCCGAGCTTTGGGGGAGAGGTGCCCTTCAGGTGACACTGCAGCCGTCCAGGTGGCCCTGCACGGAATAAGGCTGAGGGAGACAAAGACCCCATGGATTGGCCATCCCTTCAGTATCTCCTTAACCATAGTTTAGGCGCACATCAAAGATGTCTGGTTTTTTCCAAGTTACGTAAGATAATTTCCTATAGAATTACGTGATGGGAGGACACCTTCTCGTTGATTGCCAAGGAACTGAATTGCATGGGGTTAGACCACTCCTGAAGGCCACCAATTCACCCCCAGGAAAAGGGGGTGCTCAGAGAAGAGGCACAAGCTCAGCTTCGTCCTGGGGCGCAGTCAGTCTTTCTCTGCAGTCAAGTCCCATCAAGTAAATAAAAGTGCTTGTTAGACACTTTTTAGGATTAAAAAAATAACATACTTTATTAAATACTTTGTCTTTTAAGAGCCAAAGTGGGTAGGCAGGGGGAAGCTTTAAAAATAGAAGTATAAAACAACATCCTGGAAAAATATGACCCCAAATGGAATAATGTTAGTTAGCAAATGCAGATAACTGGGACCCGCAGTTGGCTGTGTGAGGCTTGTCTGTCCAAGGTTTGCTCAGTCAAGGAAATTCAAGTGGTGAGATTGTCCCACCAGAGATAATAAAAAAAATCTGCCTTCACCAAAATCTCTTAGGGGAGAGACACAAAGAGAACAGGAGGTTTGCTTCATTTCGGGGACAGCAGTTTAAGAAATAAAAGGGATAAAAAGATATTTGCACTTTGTAGAAAGGGCAAGATTATTTGCTTATTTCTGGAGGGAGGAGGAAGGTGGTTTTGCTGGATGTTTTGGTCTGTGAAAGAGTTACTTTGGACAAAGTTAATCTAATTGTAGTTATTTTTTCTGTGCTTTCTTTAAATGACTAAAAAAAAAATTGGTGAGTTCAATAGCTTTGGTATTTTGAGTGCAAATCATAATAGCTTCAATGTGAAAAAATCAAAGTGTAACCTGTCACTCAGTGTTAGAAAATTGCCTAAAATGCAGTGTAATAAATGATCTTTGTACCAAATGGTAATTTAAATGGGGTAATTTTCTGCAAGGAAAATGTACTGTTTTTATGTTTCCAACCCTCTTGAATTAAAATAAAAACAACTTGTTTTCTAAGAGCCTGGGTGATGTGAATGGCAGGCTAACACGATAGCGCCTCTCCCTCATCAGGCCTCGGGTGGAATTTTAAAAGTAGGGAAGGTGACTATTTTCTCTGAGCTCTGGTGCTCATTTCAGGCTACAGAAAAGGACAGTGGATAATATATTCTCATTGACGTCAGCAGGGTAAATAATACCTTGCTCTGAGTCGCCTAAGTACACGTTAGCTGCTGCAGATAGCTGACGGAGGCACTGCTAACCTCAGCCTGCTCGGGGACAGGGCCCGCTCGGCACTGCCTAATGGCTGCTCCTTGCTTTCCAGAGTCTCAGGGCAAAGCCCTTCAGCCCCGGTAGCCTGGCCAGTTCTTGTCCAGCCTCCCAGAACAGGCAAGCTGCAGGCCACCTGTGGGGAAGGGCTCCAGGCTGCCAGGAAAGCCAGCAAGACGCTGCCACTTAGTCACAGTGTCACTTCCTCTGGGGTCCATCAGGCCTCAACACTGCGTGAGCACACTGGACTCCCTCACGGGCACAGGCACCCTTTCAGACTCGCCACGCCCTCAGGGTGCTGGAGAGGCCATGTGCTGAGCCGCCCTGCATTCTGGGTGCAGGTGCAGAGCCAGATCCTGCTTCCTGGCAGCAGGCTCTCAGCTGGGACAGCCCCTGCTGTAAGACAGAGACGGTTCCCAGCCCAAGGGACGAGCTGACTTCTGCCACCCCTGAACCACGGACACTCAGTCCTGCCTGAAGTCAGCTGTGTACCCCATGGCTAAGAATTCAGGATCACTGAGTTTCTTTTTCTTTTCTTTTTTTTTTTTTTTAAGGAAAGCACTCACTACATTCAGTAATGATGTTTTGCAAACTTCCCTTTCCACCAAATTTCTTCATCCTTTTTATTGTATGTTGCCAAAACTAACCCAAGTGCCCAGGATATGGACAAAAATAACAGTCCAGAACCTCAGTAGTCTGGCAGGCCCCCGGTCTCCAGACTCCCCAGGACACTCATTAGCTCTGTGGCCTTTGTGAGGCACAGGCTCTGCGTGGTGGGAAAAGGGGCCAAAGATCTGCACCTCAAACCCAGGGCTTCTGCCTGGCCAGGCTCAGGGACAGAGCCGGCTGGCAGTGCCTCACATCCCAAGTCATCCGCAGCCATCTGTCACGTGCAGGGTGAGTGGAATGGGGCCTTATACTGTTCCTTCCCTACCAGATCTCAGATCACAGATCCCTCTGGCATGCCGACAGAAACACGGGGCTCTCTTCCCAAAACTCACGTACGTAGATAGACACACAGTTTGGGACATACAATTTCAGGAGAGGTGTTGGTTCCCGGATCCCTGGAGACCCACCCATGGACCAAGGTTAAGGACCCCTGACTCCACCTCCATGCTTTTCAGAGTTGCTGTCCTGCTGAGGGGATTCTAATCCCTCCCTGGGTGGATCCAGGTGAGAGGAGCCTCCCACCCTGCCTACACCCAGGGGCACTATGGGGGGAAGTTCTGGGCCTTGTGCACTAGCTCCTGGGTGCCATGTGGCTACAA